AATTTGTATAAAACTTTTCAATAAAAAAAACATGATGAAAAATCTTTAGTTTCACAACACATAGACAGATTCAACCATAGTTTCAACTGGGAAATTGTGAACATTCTAGATCAAACCAGGTCCAAAAATGTCAGAGAATTCCTGGAGGCCTGGCACTCTGACAAATCAGCCATCAACAGGCACATAAACAATATTTGCAAGTCACTAAAAAGAGACAATCAAAAAGCCCAAAAGAAAGTAGAAAGATCAAAATACCTGTTCATCAGTAATCAGTGTCCATATGAGCAGAGATTAACACCAAGATTAACACTAAACCAGCAATCAAGTGAACAATACTCCATTCAAGGAACTACCAACACAGGCAAACAAGCTAAACAACAACCTAATCAAGGAATCACCAGAACATTTCGACCAGCATGGACAAGGCAAGCCACTAGTATATAAAAATAAGAGCAAACTCCACTCCCTTCTAGCCCTGAGGATTGGTAATGAAATGTCTGCAAGAAAACTACCAAGTTCAGAGACTACCAAGGATCCTAGGACTACCATATTGCAAGGATAGGTTATCCAGTTGACAGCCTGGTTATAAAGCTCTGAAGACACAATTCTTAAAGATCTGTGTATCTTAGGTAGAACATAGAATTATTAGATACTTCAGATTTCCAGGAATGAATATGATCTCTAGAAAAAAGATTGGAATGAAATAAAACTATTTGTGACAAAAAGCTTTTATCTAGCTCTTATCTCATAGTCACAGGAACATTTAGTTTGTGGCGATGTATCTGCTTAGCTAATCTTTTTTCCACTAACAATTACGATTGCCTATCTTTATCTAATAACCTGTAATCATGCAAGAAAGAAACACAGATTGCCATAAGCTACAGATTTCCACTGACCATTTTAGTTAGAGTTGATGGGAATTAAAACCCATCAGATCATTTATTACTGACCCATTGCCTTACTAAATTATCCATTAGTTTGATCCAGCTAAGTTTATTCTATGGTGTTATGCCTTCATACTTTATTTTCCCTTAGCAATGAGTTTCCTAGTAACTCTTTCCCAAAATAGTAGTGTGGGAAAAAAACAAGATTACCTAAACCACAAGATATTGGCCTTTACCTTTCATTAGCTTTGTGAAAAATGGTTGCATCTAAGTTATAAAGACAACTATTGGCATCTTTTTCTAAATATAATGAAGCTAACATGATGGCAGATGATTTGAGACTTCAGAATGCAAGCTTTGCCCTTTTGTATTTGCATCATAATGTCACATGCAAGAAAGTAAGGGGCAGAGTTTACACATGAATGCCACAACACATAATTTATCCCTCATTCCCATGTCTGAAGATATCTATGGAGACAGCTTTTGTAGCAAAGATATTATATGCCTTTCTCTGGAAAAGCTATCTTATCCCTTCAGTAGAAGAATGGCTAATGTACTTGGAGAACAACTAGAATAGCTAGAATACACTAGAATAATTTCATAACATAAAAACAAATCTAACACAGAATTCAATTCAAACTGGAAACCATTCCTACAATTATAGTTTAATGAAAGTACTGTATTTATATCTTACCAAAATGAGGGTTACTGTATGTGTAGAATCTATATTTTAGTTTCAAATATAAATCAAAATAAATTCTCAGTAACGTGAATTTAATTTACTGTAGTTTCGAATCTTATTTGGTGATGTGTACTGTGTTGACTAGGGTTTTTGATATTCTTAGAACTTAATAGCAAAATCATGTTCAATTATTCAAAATAATACAAAACTATAATCTTTATATTGTTAATTCATTATTTATTCATGTTTGTTTTATTCTGTTTTCTTTCTCTCTCTCTCTCTCGTTTCTTATGTGTTTTACTATTTTTCCTCTAAAAGCTATTTTTCTGAAATAAAAGATGAGGCACATTTTAAGTGAACATGTGTAAATTAATTCTGTTTCAATATGTGAGAATAAAGACTTCTCACCTTCTCTATTTCTCCATAAGTCATTAGTTTTTTTTAGAAGAAAGACATCTGATTGGAGGTATTGTGGGTCATGAAGAAATAAAAGAAGCAGATTTCTGTAATGGCTGGTAAGCAGATAATTTAGAAGAAACACTATGTAGAAAGTTATAAGTTCAATCCCAGCTGGCTCTCATAAGAAACACATAGTGAGATAAAGAGACTAAGAGTCAAAGAAAACAATTGTAGAACTTCAGAATTTTAATAGGAATCAGCTTCATGCAGTTCATCAGTGATTGGCAATGAATGAATGTTGTATTCAAGACAGCCAGGAGCTTCTGCAGTGCAAAAGCATTAAAAAAAGAGTAAGGTTGAAAAAAGGAATTATGGCAGTTTACACCCATCTCTGTTGGGTATGTTTGATTATAGAGTTTTATATCTCTCTTCCAACCCAGAGGTTTTCTTGGAGGACACAGCTTGGGAATTAAAAGAAAGATCTATAGCTCAGCAATCCGATATGCAATGTGTAACATATACTGGGCAGAGAAACTCTGCTTTATAATCATTTTTCATTCAGCTTGATGAAAGAGAATTTCCTTTAAAATTATTTCAAAGTAAATCTTTTTGCCCTTATTTGGTTATAAGGTGACCTATAAATATAGGCATATGAAAACATCCTGCCTCTCATTGTACTGTCCTTTCCTCAGCAGTTTATAGACAGACTGGTTTCCTACGACTGAGTTTAGTCTCAAAAAAAGGTAACAGTGAGGCAGAACCTCCCACTAGGCTTTTTCAGTACTTGTGTTATTTTTACTGCTAAGGGACAGTCTTGTCTTTAAGAAGTGGTTGAAAAAAAATCCTTCTACTAGAGACATTTGAAGAAATTGACTGTTAGAGAATTTTAATTTTTCTATTGGTGAAAAAAATAAATCAGAAGCTCTCACAGTTGACTACATTTAGCTGATTCAAAATAACTTCTTTATATTTATATCAAAATATTTACAATACCATACATTCTTCTTTACAGCAACATAGCACAAATGAAGACTTCTTACAGAGAGATACAGAGACAAACCTGAGACTGAAAATTCAGCTCCTAACTCAATACCCTTTTGCACAGACTCAGTAGCACTTTCTTTACATTGGCTGACTGAGTTACCACATGACTCTTCCTGCTCATGAATATTCCAACACTCCTCCCTTCATGATAGGAAGAGACATCAGACCTATTGACTTAATACATTCTCCATAGTGAACACTACCCAATGGTTTAGTCATCATGTCTACCAAATTATCCTCAGAAGAACAATGATGTAAACTAATCAATTTTCCTTTTACAGCTTCCCTGACATTACAATACTTAATGTCTACATGTTTACTTCTGTTTTTCACCCTGTCACCAGTTGCCATTTTTGTACAGGCACCATTGTCTTCAAATACCTTTACAGATTGTTTTACATTAATATTTAAACCTTGCAACAACTGTACATCATTATTTGGCAATACCTTTTTCTTATATACCCACTTACAACCCACAGCTTTGGTTCCCTGTGGCAAAGTCACTGATTTAAATACTTCATGGTCTCCCATGGATTTCATCTCTTTATCCATGGCCTCCTTCCATCTTTCTTGTTCAGCTTTTGGTAATGCCAACACTTCTTTATAACTTCTTGGCTCATACCACACATTGCAAACCTTTACTTTGCTGGCAGAATACCTGTCAGGCAGAATTCCTTTGTTACATCGCTCTGACCTACGTGGTATTAACTGCTCCTGTGTCTCAAGTCTTTCTGGTTTCATGTCTTGTTCAGCCTGTCCTCCCTGAACATTGACATCTTCAATAATCATTTTCCTATCATTAGATGAGTTATTGTCGTTAAATATATCATCGTCATTAAGTGAGACATACCCAGAATTTGCATTAATTCTGTCCCAATTTTGTTCTGCAAAATTAGCAGACCTTGAAATTACAATTCTTTTACTTCCATCGCTAAAGCGATATCCTTTTGACCCTGGCTCATAGCCCACAAACCTGAGCTTTCTTGCCTTTTGCTGTCCCTTTCTTCTGATTGCTTTCGGAATATGTACCCATGCAGTACTTCCAAAAATTCTCAGATGTGCCAGTGATGGCTTTCTCCTATGTAGGATGGCATATGGTATATTATTAATGGAGAAACTCCATAGCCTGTTAACTATATAATTGGCAGTCAATATGGCTTCTCCCCAATATGACCTACTCATACCAGGATCCTCTAATAATGAATCTTTCATTGTTTGCAAAACACCATTCCTTCTTTCAGCTATACCGTTCTCTGCTGCTGTGTAAGGATTTGTACGTCTGTGTCTTATCCCCAACTGCCCCAACCATTGTTGGAATTTAGTTGACATAAATTCAGTACCTCTGTCAGTTTGCAGCTGACACACTTGTTGTCTGTACCTTCTCTCTACAAAACTTACCCACTGTTTGAATTGTTGTAGCACCTCTGTCTTTCCTCTAAGCAAGTAGCAAAATGAATACCTGCTATAATCATCAACAATTACCAGTGCATATTTTGCTCCTCCCAATCTGGCTTGCATAGGTCCCACCAGATCTGCATGGACCAGCTCTAGAGCTCTTTTTGTTTGTCTTGTGCTATATTTACTAATTGGGAATGCCTTTGACTTCGATGCTTTGCATACTGCACAGTCCAAATATGTTTTGCATCCCTTCAAATTTAGCCCTTCTGCAAACTCTTGCATTTGCTGCAAAACCTTAAAGCTTGCATGGCCAAGTCTTCTATGTAGAAGATGAACACACGAATCATGCTCTGCAACATTCTTAAATATATGGGAACATTGAACCTTTTGTCCCTGCAATACATATAGATTATCTTCCTTTATGCCTTCTACACAAATATTCCCATTTGTTTTGATGAGACACTTCCCATTTACAAAAATGACCTCAAAACCTTGTTTGCCTAAATTAGACACACTTAACAAATTATGTTCCATCTCAGGTACACAAAGCACATTGGTAAACTTTGATTCCAAATCTGGAATTTTTACATCACCTCTTCCAATGACTTTTGCTTTCTGGCCATTTGCCAAAGCCACAGCTTCTTGTGCTACTGGAACAAACCTGCAAAATAATTTAGAGTCATTAACAATTGTTTGACTTGCCCCACTATCTATTAGCCACTTGTTTCTGTTGTTGCTATAGCAAACTTTTGCAACACCAAAATTTTCCTTTTGCAAATCAGTCTTTTTTGCTTGCACAAATGTCCTTTGCTGCAAATTGTTCCTCTGCAAACAGTTCCTTTTCAGATGTGTCTTTGCTCCACAAATGTAACAATTCTTTTCTTGTTGAGCCCTCTGCTTGCAAAATGTTTCTTCTTCGGAGACTTGCAGTCTGGACCCCCTCCTCAGGAATTTCACCTCCTCTGGCTGCTTCTAAAATGTTGCTTTTCTTCTTCATTAAGCAAACATGCCTTTAAAGTCTCAAAATTTAATTCTTGCTCTTTTTTACACTCAAATATCATAGAAACTGTGTCCCAGGTTTTATCTAAACTGTTCAACACCAATAAAACCTTCTGGGACTCAGGGAATTTAATCCCATGTTGTTCTAAGTCCAAAAATAAACTTTGCATTTTATTTAAATGCTGTTCCACAGATTCCCCTGGTTGCAAACAGGCCTTGTAAAGTTTTTTTGACAATTGCACTATATTGCATGCAGAAATATTCACATGCACAGCTCTCAACTTCAACCAAGTCTCCTTTGCAGTCTTTAAATCTGCAACATTTAGAAATTGTTCATCATCTAAATTCAAGATGAGATAAGCCATTGCTTGATCATGACTTTTCTGATCAGCAGCTACAAATGCTTGTGGTGGATTTTCTACAATATACCACAGCTCTTTAGCTTTTAGGAAATATTCCATTTTAGCAATTCTTCTGGCCCAATGTAATTCTTCTGGCCCAAACAAGGCACAGAGCTTTCCTTAAATTCCATTGCAGCTATTCTACTTATTCTGCCTTGTTCTTATACTTTCTAAACACAGGCAATTTTTTCCAGCTTATGAATATTCCAACATTGACCAATGGTTTTGGGGTGTTCCCAGCTCTAGATTTTGCTCAGTTGAGTTGTCAAGTTTTTACTGCTGTCCTTATGATCCATTTTTCTGTCAGTTATGACTCTTAAATATAAATAATTTCCAGATATTGTATTTCCATTGTTGTTGGTGTTGTTTGGCTTGAGGTGTTTGGAAGGTCAGGATGTACAATTTCAAATAAATAAAACTCTAATGGCAGAGACTCTTTGATTAAAGGAAGAGAAGGAGGGAAAGAGAAGGAAAAAAAAAACATCTTGTCAGAGCAACAACCGGTGCATATGAGCATATGTCTTTTGTGTAGATAATTGCTTTTTTAAAATTAACACACACACACACACACACACCATCTCACCTGCATTTCACCTACATGTGAAGGGTGCTGTAGACAACCCATATTATCAAACTGATTGAAATCAAATGACAACTCATTTTCAGTTGATAAAAATTTTTCTAAAACAAAATATCAGTTACCTTTTAATACAAATTTTCTTTATCCCAAATGCCTATTCTTTGCTGCTTTATTGCTATTCTTCGTATAAGAAAACCTATTAATTAGGACCTGCTTTCTCTAATTATGCATAACCTTATATTAAGAGTGTCTCCTTTATTGAAAACATTACTCTATTGCTAAAATATTCTATCTTGCTGAATATCACCTTATTATTTTGCAATGAGATATTTCCTCCATTGTGCCTTGCAGAGCCAAGATCCATTTATTGAAGACAACTGTTATTCTCAGATCTTTGTAAAATTCACTGAGAAATTCCTATAACTCAAAACAGTATTTCTGTGTACTTAATTTGGTTTACAGATTTACATTCCCAATTACAGGGCCACTGTATTGCATAAGAACCATCACATGCTTTTCTGTTGCTAGTGGTTACAGGGAAAAGGGTGAGAACTGGGTGCCACTAGTCACATGATGGGCTGAAAAATCTAATACATTCAGGCAGCTTGCTCTTAGTTGGCTTATGCCTTGTTATGATCAAATGATTGCATCTCTTGACATGATAAATATATGTTTGCCAGTTAGAAATAGTGATTATTCCATATTACTGAAACAGAATGGACTGATGTCTACAGAAAACTATTAAACTGAATGGCCATGTCAAACACATCTCTCCAGAAGATACAGTCTTAAGTGCTTTATTTGTACTAGATTGTTTTTTTTTATCAGATTAGGTTTGTAGACAAGAACTAGGGTCTTTTTCATATTTAGCTAAATCTGCAAATTTCTACAGCTTTCTGTTCTGTTCTGTTTCTTCAATCTCCACTGAATGGAAATGAGATGGTTACAATTGTCCTTTTTCATATATATCCAACTAAATATTTTGGTCATTTATTATGTCTATATTGATGGATCTTTCAGTCCCTCTTGTATGGCTTAAGACTAATATATAGAGCCCTGCATACTTCCATGTGCTTATCAAAACAAGCATATTTAAAATTGCAACACAAAGGATTCTCTCTAGCAAAATTGACACTAACTGTATTATTGGTCGCCAGAGGAAGATATTTCAATGATGTACAGAATGGAAAAGAGAGCTTAACTTCTCTATATGGTAAACATTTTCATTCTTAGAATGACTAAATACAGATAGTCCTTGACTTACAACAGTTTGTTTAGTTACTGTTCGAAGTTACAACAGCACTAAAAAGTGATTTATGACTGTTTTTCACACTTATGACTGTTACAGTATACCCTTGGTTATGTGATTAAAAAATGATGCTTGGCAACTGACTCATATTTATGATGGTTACAGTGTCCTGAGGTCATTGACCACCTTTTGCAACCTTCTGACAAGCAAAGTCAATGGGGAAGATAGATTCACTTAACAACCATGTTACTAATTTAATAACTGCAATGATTCACTTAACAACTGTGGCAAGAAAGGTCATAAAAGGGGGGAAAACTCACTTAGCAACAGAAATTTTGGGATCAGTTGTAGTCATAAGTTGAGAACTAAACTAAACTAAATTAAACTAAACTTCTGTAATATAAATTTTTGCACTGGATCCGTAAGTATTTTGAATTTTATAAAATGTGAATGCATCTACAACCCAGAAAAACTGTGTCCTTTCTATCCTGAAAAAAAAAGGATCAAAGTAATCTGAGTGCCATGTTCTGATAGATGAGACCAATTAAAAAAAACTTCAAGGCAAGGAAGTCTTCCTCAAAAAACATTTTTATTTGGCTACAAAATAACGGCACATACAAAGGCAAACCTAAGACTAAATTCCCCTCCCCTTGGTTACAAAGTTGCAGGTTGCAATTCCCACCCCAATATGCTGTCATAAATCACATTAACCAATTGTTAAAAAATGCAGGCACTCCTCCCAGCTCTCCAGCCCAGCCAAAATGTTATCAGCAATGACCTTGGTTCCCATATATTTGAATTGTTTTGGCTAACTGAGAACTACACCGCCCTTCCTTCTTCTAAACTAAATATGTGGCAATGAAGACAAAATGAGAAATGGCTTCAGTTCAGTTTGTCACAGCATTAACACTGAGGATGGTAGGAAGCATCCACTTGTTTGCACTCTTATAGCCTTTTTGTTCAAATGCAAGGCATCCCTCTGATAAGCATTTTGAAAGCACCATCCAAAAGCTTTTAATATTTAAAATTATTCCTGTCTGTGAGATATTTAGATACATTACTAAGACCTCCTGCAACTGAAAGTATACCTTTTTTTTGTACACTGTACTTTCCGGCGTATAAGACGACTTTCGCAAGCGTTAAAATCGGCGCCGAAGTCGGAGGTCATCTTATATGCCGAGTCGTCTTATATGCCAGAAATAATGGTAGTTTCCGGCGTATAAGATGACTTTCTAGGCATGCGACTCAGCGCCGAAGTCGGGGGTCATCTTATATGCCGGGTCACTTTATACGCCGGAATATATGGTAAATCAAAGAAGAATCTAGGTTAAGAGAATAGTGAGGATATCCTATTGGGATTACTGTATAGACAAGTTTGCAAATTCTTCTTCTTGCTGGACATAAAAGCATGTATACAAAATTTGCTCTGGAGTTCGCTATGGCAAAATCTCTTAACAGCAGTAAGCTTAATAAACTCACAAGGATAGAAAAGGTGACCAAGGCCAGTTGGTAGGCATTGTTGCTGCAGGCCAGGCCAGGACTCTGAATCAGAAAATCTGCAGGGTTGCCTGATGCTGGATTAAGGTTTGTGATTTATAAATATAAACAAACTGACAGTTTCTATTTATATTTCTTATTCATTTTAATTATGTTCCTGATCATTGTTGATGATGGTAAAATTTGGGATAGCAGAAAAAACCCAGAGTACATTATTTATTTACTGGAAATCTATTTAATATATGGTTATTGATAACAAATATCATCTCTACATGTAAATTTCCTATCTTACTTCTCTAGGAAGGATTGGAAAAATTTAATCCAAGAAATACATCCTTCTCTGCTATAATTAGCAATATTTATTATAAATAGGTTTTAAGGCACAACCAAGAACACAGATTTAGTAGTTTGCCAATTCATTTCAATTGATATCAGAGCTTGTTGTGTCCTGAGCCCGCAAAAGCTCAGGGCGTTGCATTGGTCCTGGGCATTCCAAAAGCTGCCTGGGACCAGACTGAGTGGCGCCAGCTTTGCGCACATGCGCAGGGCACGAAACGCTCTGCTAATTGTTGCCATTGTGTCTGGGTCTCTGGTCAGATAAGAGAGAGGCCTGCATGCCGTTTGCATTGTTGGGGTAGTTAACGAGCTGTTAACTACACAATGAGTCTTCATCATTCGCCCATGATCAAAGGACTTAACACTGGCGATGAAGGTGGGATGCTTTACAAGCTGAAGAAAAGAAAGCTTTAAAGACTTACGCAAAGAAGTCCTAAAGAGGGGAAGACGGCATTGGAATCAGTGTCCCAGCCTGCTAGTATAGCATCGCTGGAGGGTGAGCTCAGCTGAAAGACCCTTTCCCCAATAGAAGTTGCAGAGGAGTGAGTGGTGAAGGTTGTAAACTACAGGATGGCAAAGATTGGTCATTTAT